GTGTGTGCATGCGTGTGTGTGTGTGTGTGTGTGTTTAATGAGGAGGCACTTCTGTGGCATATATCATTGGAATTTATGTCCATTTGGAGAACAAATTCTCCTTTCCAGCCCACCTCTGGTATGGCTTGAAGAGTTCCATCAATTAACTTGAGGTTACTATTTATATGCTAACAAATGAAGTTGATGAAAACCATTTCACAGAGGAAAGATGGGTAGACAGTATGCAGATTATTTGAGAAATCATCTGAAAACTGATGGCAAATCCTTCTAGATGCTAAAATCATGCAGTGGGATGACCTCACTACTCAAGGACTCCACCAAAGCAAACGGTGCAAGAGCCATCCTTGAAGTGGCCTCTTCCTGCTGGCAGATTTAATAAAATGGAGCCCATTGAAGGCAGGGAAAAGCCGCTTGGTTCCAACTGGATCTTGCCGATCTCAATCAAGTGCAATCATCCAATTGTTTTCTAACGAATATACATTTGGAATCATGCAGACTTTCTGAAAAATTGCTTTAAAAATCTATTTGTTCTGAATCTTCTGTTGGAAGACAGGGAAGGGAAAAAAATCATATGAAGTCATCCATGAAAGGCTTTAGGCAATTAACCAGCAATTTTAATTCAACCTCCCATTTACTGTTTTAAGGGAATGGCCTTGGAAATGGTCCTCATTATTAACATCATTTATGTTAAAATATATAAACCTATTTTTTAAGAATCAGAGAAATCTAAACTGCATCTCAACAACATGTGATTATACCCACGATTTGCCTCTCAAAGCACCAGAGGGAGAAGGTAATTTCTCAGCCTTCTTGGAGTAGTGCCAAGAAGCCTCGAACAAAAGCCTAGCAGAGCACCCTGCCCAACGGCAGCTTTACCTGATGCTAGAAGTCACATGTGTTTTATCAGGCCCTTAGGCTCCCTTAAGTTTCCCCACTTGCAAATCAAATATGAATTCATTCTTTGTGGCTCTTTCCTGACTAAAATTGTTGGACCATGAGTGTTTCCATTTGGCTTTTTACGGATCTTACACTTCAGTCTGGACTGTTCACAAAATAAGGACTTTTCCAAAGACTTTCTGATGCAGGAATGCTAAAAAGGGAGACTGCCCAAAATGAACAGGACTATGCCTTATTCCCATCGACTCTCAAAGGCCTCCTTTATCGGGATGATGCCCCAGGGCAGGGAGGCTTACAGAAACTTCTGTGTGGCCTCAACTTCCCTGAGGCCCAATCTTCCAGCAGAGGTAGATGCTGTTCTACCCTCACTCCCTGGCAGCACAAACACGACCTCCCAGGACCACCAGGGTGCAAGCCCAGATTCTACCACTTTACTCGCTCTGTCCCCTTGGATGGGGGAGTGGGCCTCCCCAAATCTGTGTTCCTACCTGAATCTGGCAGAAAGGAAAAAATCAATCATATACAGATATTGATTAAACACCACGCCATTCCAGGCAGGGTCAATATCTAAGGAAACAGACACAGTCTCCCTGCCTCAACGAGCTCATAATAGAGAAGTGAAATACACAGCATGCCAGAGAGTAGAGCTTGTGGGCCAGGGAGGGGCATTTTAGATAGGGGGCCAGGGAAGACCTCAAAGAGAAAGAAATGTGTGAGTAAAGGCCTGAAGGAGGTGAAGGAGCAGGTCCTGCAGGCATTTGGGGGACGAGCCTTCCAGATTGAGGGAACCGCAAGTGCAAAGGCCCTGAGGCAGGAGTGGGCCTGGTATGTGGGAAGAAGAGTATGAACAGAGCAGAGAGGAGAAGTAGGAGATGAGGTCAGAGAGGCAACAGAGTGGGCAAGATCATCTAGGGAAAGAGTTAGCAAGCTATGGCCAGTGAGTCACATGTGGCCTGCCATCTGTTTTTGTAAACAGTTTTATTGGAACTGCAGCCATGCCCTCTGCTTTATGTATTGTCTATGGCTGCTTTCAAACTACAACAGCAGAGTTAAGTACTTGCAACAAAGACCATTTAGCCCACAAAGCCTAGAATATTTACTATCTGGTCCTTTACAGAAATGGCTTACCAACTTCTGGCTCAAACAAATATGAGTTTATTTTTCTCCATGGCAAGAAGTCTAGAGTAGGCAGTGCAGGCATGGTGCATCAGCTCCATGATGTTAATAAAGGCCCAGATTCCTTTTACCTTTATGCTCTACCAGCCTTAGCATGTAGACATGTTGTATCATGATCTTGAAATAGCTGCCAGTGCTCCAGACATTACACATTATATCCACATTTAAGACAGGAAGGCAGGGGAAAGGGGTATCTGTTCCTTCTATCAGGAAAGCAAAAATTGTCTCATCCTCTCTCAAATCCTCACTTCTCTAGCACACTTTTCCCTGTGTCTTTGCCCAGAAGTGGGTCATACGGCTTCAAAAGAAACTGGGAAAGCCACGAAAAGGATTGTCAAAGTTGACTTAGATGGTGGCTTTCAAACTCTTCTGGCCATAGCCCACAGGGAGAAACACATTTTATATCACAGCCTAATACATATAACTGAAATATAAATAATGCAAACAAAAGTTTCATAAAACACAACTTACATTTACTATGCATGCTGTACTCTGATATTTTCTCTTCTATTTTTTTAAATACTAGTCACATCATCTACTAACTTAATCTCATGGCCCACTATTGGTTTGTAAGTGCAGCATAAAAAATACAAGTGGTCACGATCCATTACTAGGGGCTGGCATGTTGCTGCTCCAAACAAATTGCTCACTCCCTGTCTCACTCTCTCTCCTTCCTTTCCTTTCTTTTCCTTCTTTCCTCTTTCTCTTTTCCAAAGCAAGGAATGGATATTGGGTTGGCAACTAACAGTCTCCACAGCACCCACCATAACTGAGCTGGAGGCCAAATACAGCTCCACTGAACACTGAAGGAAAAGGCGATCCTCTTTCTGAAGGAACTAGGACCCTGACAATGGACGCTTGTGTTCCACATAAACTGCAGGGAATGACACCCACTCCCCAGGAGTGCCGAGGGGACTGCGTGGATCCCTGATGTAACACAGTGGGAGTGCAGGACACATTAGCTTGCTTCTTCAAGTTCTACCATCACTCTAGACTAGTCCTGGCCCTGGGGACAGCATCGACTAGATCAGAGAGGATGATTCACTCTCAAGTGCTGGGGAGTCCCAGGGAAATCATGTGTTACTCTAGTGCTATGTCTACTTATCCTATTGGGCATGAATGAATGCTCAGAGGTTGAGGGCTATGTTGAATTTTACCCTGTGTTTTAAAAAAACATTTAGAAGCACCCGATTATTGGCCTCAGCTTTGATGACCAGACTTTTGGGCTGTGCAGAAGCAGATGTCCCAACCACATGGATGCCCTGAACTGACAGAGGAAGGGCAATTCTCCACAAATTCATGCAAAGGTAGATGTTGATGCAAATAATCCATAATCAATCTATAAATCAAAACTGAGGTGAGTTTATTATGAGTCAATTTGAGGACTATAGCCCGGGAGAACTTTTCCACCAAGGAAGAAAGTTCTCCCAGGAAATGGGGTACAGATAGTGGTTATACACCATCTTGGGACAAAAAGCAGCCATCACATATGACAGGAATATCTCTTTTACTACAGTCATGAGATGCTTTGCTAGCACAGCAGGTGAGTGGTGAGCAGGTCAGTGGTCACGAGATGAGTTAGAGCAGGTCAGTAATTAATCCTTAGTTTCTGGAAAGAAACGCATATCCTTAAATAAACACTGATATGGGGGAGGTGACATCCCTCTTTAAGGATATCATTCTTGGCTTTGCGACATTGTAAATGTTTAAAGCAGATGTACAATGCATGCCCAACAGGCCACATCAGGCCTTTCTGGAAAAACAAGGTCAGGCCGAATTCATTGTAAACCAATGGTTTCCTTATATACCCCAATATATCCTATTGCTTTTCATTTATTCATCATAGAGCTGAAGGATCCCTGGACTGGTCACATTTAGCCCCCTCATTTTTGCAGGTGGGGAAACTGAGGCCCAAGAGGGGTTGCAACATGGCAGCCTCACCCAGGCAGTAGACGGCAACCCAATCTCTCTACCCAGAATCCAGCAGTCCTAACAACAATAATTAGCACAGCCCCTCTTAATTGGGGTCCAGGAGCCTACAAACTCAAATCCCAGCCGATCTTGGCCTATGTGGGCAGCTGCATTTTTCTAGAAGGTCCATATCAGATTCTAAAATGGCCATGTGACTTTAAAAAGATGAGGAAACACAGATTGAAACTGAAATGATTTATGTTGGGGGTAGGGGACAGGAGGTCCATCTGGAGGTCAGGACCTGGAATCCGAGATAAAACAGAAGTTGCAAATGTTTCCATTAACCCCTTCCCCCGCCCTGCCACGCCCACACCCCAGAAACACTGAACTGTTCCAAGTTCCCCAAAAGGCCTGCGGTCTTCTGTGCCCTCTGCCTCCACGCGGGCAAATCCTCGTCCAGCAGGCGGTGACGGGCAGAGAAGTTTTTCTCTTCCTCTGTATCACCGGATCCGATTTCTTAAACGCGGTGGAGCTCTGAGAGGCCACGCCAAGCAAACAGCCGGACAGCAGACAAATAATGAGCAAAAAATAACAATGCTCCGCGCTTATACTGATAACCTCCTCCCCCGCGACGGGCACCCTACTAATTGCAGCGCCCTCGCAGCGGTCTTTGTTGGAAACCCAAGGGTTCTGGTTACCCCAGGGGCCCTGCCTCCGCCCGCACACCGGACCCTCCCAGCCGAGCCGGGGCTGCTGCCTCCGCGCGTCTCTGGGCGCCCTCGGGCCGGCCCGAGGGCACCCCGCAGGCCCGACGCCCCAAACTCCCCCGCTGCCCTTTGCGCACCGACCCTAACCCGTGTGCCCGGGGCGGGGCGGGGCGGGCTGGACGAGGTGGCGCCATTGGCCGGCGCGAAGCGAGGGGCGGGGAGGGGCGGGCCGGAGAGGGACAGACGGGGCGGCGCCATTGGCTGGCGCGGGCCGAGGGGCGGGGCGGGGCGGACCCCACGCGCTGAACACAGGAGGCGGTGGGCGGTAGGCGCTGCGGCCGCGGTTCTGGTGCCGGCGAGGACACAGCACCGGCAGAGGCTTCTGGACTGCGCGATGAGTGGACGGTGAGTGATGCACGGGCAGGAGAGTTTGGGGGCGTCCACGGAGCATCGATACCGCCGCCCCCAAGCCGGAGAGCGCCCCTAGCCATGGGCGCTGGAGCGCAGGCACTGGGTGCCCCTTGGCTGCCGCGCGCGGGGTCCCCTCCCCTTGCCAGCCTGGCGCATCCTGGGCCTTGGGCCCAATGGTGGGACGGTGGGCACTGCGCCAGGCACCTCCTCCAAGCGGAGAGCACTTTAGGGGCTAAAATCTGAGCACGACAGTTGAGCGCAGCCGCAGCTACACCTTTGACCCACCTTGTCTCTCATCTTAGCCAATATACTAGAAGCATTGATCTTAGAGTTGCCAGGTAGAGGCTGGAAGCGCCTCTGGCACAACTCTCAGAGTTCATAAGTGAAAACCAACGCCAAGATATTAGCAGAATGAGGGGCTTGCCTCACAATCGCTATTTATAGAGGATTTGCCTCCCTCCCAGACCTGTGCTAAGGGCTTTAGCGCAATATGCCACCTACTTCTCACAACCCTGATACTTTCATTATCCTCATTGTCAAATGAGAAAACTGAGGCTTTAAGAATTATGGAATCGTTGGGTTTACCCAGATGAGTCGGTGGTGGAGTCAGGATTTGAACCCTGGGCTGATTGTACCAGGTCTCATTCATTTCACCGGCTGACTTCAGAGCTCACCCTGCTCTCCCCCACTCTCCTGACTCAGTCCTGCACTTCCCACTCTGGAGAGATGCCTTAGTGTTTTTATTAATCTGGCACAGCCCTGTGGGAGGGAGGGCCTCCTCTCACACCAGGATCAGTGCCAGGCCAGTGCCAGTGCTTTCTTAAAACACTGTAATGAGAGCTTTAGTAACCCACTTCACAAACGAATTAAATAAGATCACAGCCAATGAGGGCTGGGATTCTGGAATTTGAACCCAAGCAGGTGACTCCAAAAGCCATGCACTGGCACTGGCAGAAGAGACCCTCGCTGGCTTCTCTGTAGTTTAACTGCCCACGGCACCATCAGGATTGATTGCCAGAAGCCATGATTAAAACAAACAAAAAAACTGTAAGCGAATTCGTAGAACTAACAGGTACATGCAGATCTGCCTGCCTCTTCCTCCCCTGTGTAATTCCTGGCCTGCCACCACCAGGGCTGGAGGTGCTGGGGAGAGGGAGGGAGGAAGGACGGGCTGGGGGAGGGAGAGGAGAGGAAGGGGAAGAAGAGAAGGGGAAGGGGGAGGAATTCATTGAACTTAGATCGAAAACTGCTGGCTGGAAGTTGCAGTGGGGTGTGTTTCAGTGCTTTGTCGGTGTCTGTTAGCTCTATTTTCATTAGTTCTTGTCATAATTCTGTGTGTAGTGCTGGTGGTTCAAGACTTGACAGTGAAGTGAGGTTGAAGCCACAGATTCAAGTGTCAGTGTGAAAGCCCGGATGTGGGGTTGTGTTTCCACCACGAGGCTCCAGTGGGTGGCCTGGAGGTTGAGAACAGAGTGAAGGTCCAGGGTCCCCCTGGGTCAGAGTCAGCTGGACAATGACACATAACAAAGAACACGAGCAGAACTTTGACATGTCGCAGTTCAGATCCTGTGAATGCAGAGCCTCAAATGGGGACTATGAGCTCTACCAGAAGGCTCTCTGGACTAGGCCTCTGGGGACCTCGGTCCTGGTTTTGAGAGTAGACTCAGTAACATGTCCTTGCTCACAGTTGCTCCTGCTGGGAGGACTGTCATTCTCTTTCAGTCCCACATTCCCATCTCCGGAGCCCCACTGTCTCTCCGGAACCCCTCCCTCCCATTATGACCTATAACTGGAGCTTCTGTTTATTATGGGTGAGCCCCGTATGAGGCTCATCTTACGTGCCTGCTCATTCACCTTCACAGCAGTCAGTAATTCAATTAATGAGGAACCTGAGGTTCAGAGGGCGAAAGGGACTTGCCTAAGGTCACACACCTAAAGAATCACAGAGCAGGGCTTTGACCCAGATCCTTGCAAAGGCTGGGTGGTTATCCTGTCACAGAGAATATTTTGGAATTGTTTTAAAGTAAATTAAAATCAAATAGGAAGTAGCTGCACTTTCCAAAACTTCTGCAGTGTTTTCACTCTTGTTAAAGGGGAACTTGCAGTTACTCAGTCTCCTTTTCTGGCTCTCTGACCTCCTTCCCCAGGATACACTGCTGGGGGAGAGATGTGGAACCCCCTCTCCTTGCCCTGCCTGACCTTGGGGATTGGGGGCGGGGGTGTCCTAGATCTCCATGGCCCCAGAGCTGCGAAGAGCCCTGAAGACACTCTAGACCTGCTGCCAGTCCAATCCTGGCTAAACTGAGGCCCGAGAGATGGCACAACGTGCTGAAGCCACGTGCTAAGTTGATACACCTGCGAAACTCGCAGCCAGACTTCTCTGTCTACGGTGCTCCTTTGCATTTCTGTTGCTGTGACACCTTTCAGCAGAAGTTCTTAACCTGGGATCTGGGGATCGCCCGGCACATAGACAGGGCCTTCCTGACCCCCCTGCAGTGGTATGCAAATTCAGTCAGTGTGCTTATATGCACTCACACATACTCACGTACACACATGCATTTTCCAGGGAGAGTGTGTTAAGCTTTCAGGAGACTCGAAAGGACTCCATGACCCACAAGATTCTGAGCCACACCCTGTCTCACAGGAAACCACCCCCAGCAGCTGCATGTGGCACACAGGCCTGGCAGTGGATAGCACAGGTGAGGGGGAGCCGTAGAGAATACCCAGGGCAGCCTTGCAGCGGCTGGCCCCAAGCACTCGGAGGGCCTGTCCCCTGAGCTGCACCCCTGGCCCCAGGCAATCAGGATATTGGCCAGTGGTCATTCTGAGAACCTGCTTGGCCCAAAAAGCATGGCTGGGAAGATTCCTGTTTCCATAGATCCCCTTTTCCATAGGCAAGAGAAGTGCCTGGTTTGGGAAGGAGGGTCCCACAGGGCCAGGGAGTGTGCGTGTAAGGGGGAGCAGCAGGATTGGAAATAGCTTTCTGACCCCAGGTTGCTGTGCTTTGAAAGCGAGATCAGAAACCAGAAATATGGCCGCAGGGGGCTGGGTAAGGCACCGCCTCTCGGCTGGCGCTGTCAGGAAGCTGTTAGGAAGGCCCGTCTGCATGGGTGCACAGGGCCAGGCTCTTCAGAGGAAGGGCAGCGGTGTTGGGGAGGCCTGGGTGCCGGAATGGGCTCAGAGAGACCTGGTGGGAGCCCAGGACCACGGGGATGGGGAGGATTCAGTAAAGGCGAGCTGGGATCTGTAGAGTTGGCCCAGGGGAAGGCAGTGAGTGGAGGTGGCTGGTAGCTCTGTGGCCGCCTCTCCTGCTCTCCCTCGGCCACCACCATCACCTCCATCTGGACTGTGCACAGTGTTCTCCCAGGGCTTCCTAGCCATCAGTGTTGGGGCAGGGAAAGGTGTGGCCGAGCCAGAGCAGGGTGATGGTGGCAGAGGGAGGAGGGGTGAGCGCAGCAGGGTGGAAGGGGGCGGGAGCTGCAGCTACTGAGTTGTTGCTGCCATCCACGTCCCAGCAGCTGGCTTTCTCAGTAAGAATATGCTGCTGAGGAGCGGCCTGTGTCCAGCCAGACCCCCTCTCAGAGGCAGCTGGTACCAGCAGGCACCACAGCTTCTTCCCTGGCCAAGCTCCTGCCATTTGCTGGCTGACAGGTGCCAGGGTGGCCCGTGTAAAGATTCATTGTGTTCAGCGCCATCCTGCTGTCCCTGGCTGGCATTTGAAAGTTGGAGCCATGGGCTGCAGAGCAGGGGACTTAGGCTTCCCAGGAATGCGTTGCAGTGTCACTAGCACCTGCCCTCTCCCTGGGAACCTCCTCCCTCCTTCTGGCCAGAATGGACTGGGCCGAGAGGCTCCCAGCTGTGCCCCACACCCTCTGTCCACCTTTCTTTGGCTTTTTGTGTCACTTTCTTTACATATTTGATTTTAATCATGCCTGAGTAAGAAAATAAGAATCATGATTTTATGAAATGTCCAAACAGAGGTTACCAAGCTCTCAGATTTCACAGACATCCTCAGAACATTGTAGTTAGGACCCTGATGTGTTTTCCATTTTGCCAAGTGAGGACGATGACGACCATCTCTTTTTGCCGTCATTTTATGAAAGAGATGGCATTGTAAGACTAAAAAGCAGGCAGCACATAGTCCTGAAATAAAAGACTTTCCACTGCACTCAGTGTGGCTTCGTGAAAACTCCTCCATTAGCTTCCTTTTCTCTCTCTGTCATTGGTCTGTGTGGTGCCCTGGGGAGGCACGGTGCTGCGTTCCTCTGTGATGACCAACTCCAGGACCACAAAGGAGGAGGACTGACCAAGCCTGGCAGTTGTCAAGGCTTCACTGTCCTTTGTCCCAAATCAAAGTCCAGGGACAATGGCGAGGGCAGGCTGTGGTGCCCTCAGCAGCCCCTCCGCACGGCTGGTAGAGCAACCGCTGAAGTGGAAAGCGAAAACAATCACTGCCTGTTCACTGGGGACAGGTAACCATGGCTGGCACGCCGCCCTGGGGCCTCTCCTCTGGGGACAGGGAGCCCTGTCTGCAGCCAAGGCCTCTGGGTGGGGACAGGGCCCCATCTGGCTGAAGAGGCAAGCATGGAGGCCTGAGCTGTGTGCTCTGGGGGCTGGTGGAGAGGAGCAGGCCAGGACGCAGAAGGCGGGACTCCTTCAGCACTGGGCTGGGCCTGCCCAGCTGCATCTGTCACTCTGTGGTTTCAGACTGTGCCTGGGTGGCAGGCTGGCCCCAGCTCATCCTCTCCTCTCCCCCACTCCTGCTTCAGTCAAAGCAGCCTCACCTTAATCTGTTTGTGTATGGGGCTTCTGCCTAGGGTTTTATTTAAAGATAAGATTGTGCTTTTTATAACAGGTTGAGAAACACTCCATTAGAGAGTCTCTAAGGCCTGCCCAGTACACAAGGAGAGTGAGTGTTTAAGAAGCAGTTTCAGGAACATGTTCCAAATGGAGAGAAATCTCCATTTGGTTTCTTGGCGGGGAGGGGGGCTGGGGAGCAGGGGCGGGCAGTGGGGGAGTGCTCTCTCTCTCTCTCTCTCTCTCTCTCCCTCGAAGCTCTCTCATTCAAGTTATCTCCAGGATGCCTCTTAGGTACACATGCAGCTCACTTTAGAACTCAACAAGACACTGGGAGTATCAAAATGAGGGAAAATCATCTTAACCATCAGTCTGGTTAAGGAGACCCAAATGCACAGTGTTCACATTTGGAGTGAGATTTTGTGAGTGACCCCAGAGCTCAGGTCTGGAGCTCAGGGAGATGGAGATATTGCCTAATTAGGGTGGAGGGATGGGACATGTAAGAACCAGAGAGACTACGTGACTTGCTTAGGGCCACACAGACAACGGATGTCAGAGGACACAGAAATATGTCGTTCTCTCAAAGGAGAGACTGTTTTTCTGTGGGGCCAAGGTCACTACCCCATAAGGCTCAGACCCTGCCCAGTAAGTTGGAAGAGCCTCCCTCTGCTGAAGTGGACTCTACATTGCTTCACCCCGCTTTCCCCACTTACCCCCTGCCCTCACCTGGGATGGTGTACCCCATTCTCTGTCTGTGCCAAGCTAAGCTGTTTACCCTACGAGCTGCCTTTACCTTCTTCCCTTCACTTTGCCATCTGCAATCCAGGACCCTCCTTCCCTTTCCTCCTGATTCCCTCTTCTGAGCAGCCTCCCCCAGCTGATGCCATCTAACTCCAACCAGCTACGCTCACCGTGTTGGTGAGGGCAGGTTCTTGTGGGCAAAGCACTCCAGAAGGCCAGTGTAGAGAGGATCTCGTGTGTTACTCAGCCCAGTGCTTTGCAAATAGTATTATCTGGAGCCCCAGGCAGAGCCCTGGATGGGGCTCCCCGCCGCCCACCTCACTGTCAACCAAAGCAGCCCCCGTTAATCTGATTTGCATAAATATTCCACTTGAACTAAGAATTCTACAGTTGAGAAAATTTCTAACTCATTGGAGATGAATATTCTTGTTGTACAGATGGGAAAATTAAGGCTCAGAGGAAAAGGCAAGCGACTAAAGCCACATGGGTCTGCAGCAGCCCCAACCTCTTTAGGAAACATCTTCTATTAATAACTAATCCCTGCTTGACTTACGGAGAATTCCACTTAGAAGTGTTTCTATTACATAGAGCAAAATGGGCATATTCCCTGCATACTGTAGGAGGATGAAAGTATTGTAGACTGAGTCCTGATGTGACTCGGAAATCACAAACTGGAGCCCCACTAAGGGCGTCTGTCTTGCAAGTACATTTTGTCTGGCTACATTTTATTTTTAACTATATACATTCATTTTAATTGAATTATTTACTGCATTTGTCAGGATAGTCTAGGTTATGCTGCAGTAATAAATCTCTGAAACACCAGAGGCTTATCACAGCAGAGGTTTATTTCTCTTTCTCACCCATATCCGTTGTGGGTTGGCAGAGGGCTCTGGTCCACAGAGGCACTCGAGGACCAAGGCTGGCCATAGAGAAGCTGCACCAATTGGAACATGTGGCTTTCTGGGTCACCACAGCAGAGGACAGGAATGCTGCAGGGTCATGCACTGGCTCAGTGCACTGGCCGGAGAGTGGCACACAACAGTTCTGTTTGCAGAGTTAGTCATGTGGCCCCACAGCTGCAGGGGGCTGGAATGTGAGCAATCACATGGTCATTCCAGGGGTGGTAAATATCTCTGCCACATCACCCTGCTTTAAACAGTGAAATATAGTGCAAAAAATCTAGATCTCTAGTTTCTCATGAACCACCAGAAAAGCTGCCCCTCTAGAGGAGGAATGTGTCCCCCAATTCCCAATGGACTCCACTGACCAGTGTCCCTCAACCGAGTCATCTCTCTGGCCCCTGGAGACTTGTATATGATTTGTTCCAGCTGTATATGCACAACTCTGGGAAAGTTGACTTTGGGAGACCCTGAGAAGTTTCCTGTATACTTATAATACTGTCATAATGCTCTTGTAATGCTCGATGCTGGAAACAAGAGGCAGAAAGGCAACATCCCTGCCCCATCACACTCCTTTTCTCCTGGGGGAATCAAACCAAGAGGCAGGCCTGCTATGCCCAGCACAGTGAGGAGCCAGGGGCAGGTGCTGGGCAGAGAGGAGTTGCTGCTGACACTGGAGGAGGGGGCTACTCTGCTAGGGTTTCCTGGTGGGGCCAACGTGAGAGTGTAGGCCGAGGAGGAGGCTGTGTTCTGAGCAGAGAACAGCGCCATCAAAGCTCAAAGTGAGGAAAAAGCACAGGGCCCTTTAGGGGAGCTCTGAGCGGCTCAGGAAGGCTGGCACTGAGAGGAGGAAGTGAGGAGTAGCGGAAGAGAAGTTGGGTATAGAGGAAGGCGAGAGAAAAACCACCTCCTGTTATTTCTGGGTAAATCCAGCTCTTCCTATAACGTGCTTGCTTAAAGCAAGACATAGTTGGGCCACAGACCCACAGAGACCCACACGCACAGCCTTACCCTGGGCTGAAGCCAGTTTCCACATCAGGAGTGTTTGAGGCACTACCCAGAGGGAGCCTGGCAGGTCACTTTTTCCACAAGAGAGCTGAATTGCTGAGGAACTGAAACCCTATTTTGAGACAGGCTGAGCAGAGTGCACCCGGAGGTCCCCAGCTCCAGCCCCCATGGTGCTCTGCCCTGTGCCCTGTGGACGAGGGTCTTGCTGCTGGCCACAGCTGCCCCACAAGGTGGCCTGCCCTCTCTCCAGGCCATGGCTTGCTTTACTCTAGACCAAGGCAGAGGGGAGGTGTTTACAGGATGGTTCTGAGGTCACTGGGAAGCCCACCTCCCTCAAATCATCCTCTTCTCCATGTTTCCCCTGCCTCCGGAATCAAATGCTCATCCAGGACTGACGCTAACACAGAAGGCAGGCTTGTCTTGTCTGTGTGTGGTATCAAACAGGAAGGAGAGAGCATGCTGGACTAGTCAGAGTCAGTGCCACGGGGACGCAGTGCTCCGTCCGCTCCGAGGACATTAATACTACAGCAGTTGGACCTGACCTTGAGCCCCACAGTGACACTTGCACGCACACAGGCTGGGAAGATGTGACTGAGCCAGCTTTGTGTGAACAGGTGTTGGGGTTTTGTGAAGGAGCCGACCTCTGTGGTGTGAAGGGCAGGCTGTGTGCCCTGTCTGTGCCACTTCCCGGTGTAACATAACCCCTCAGATTCCTAGCTGCAACTTGCGAGAAGGGAGGTAGAGGCATGGGTCAAGACGAGTGTGTGTGTGTGAAGCTGCGGCTCACTGCCCGACACATGGGGGAATTTGATAAGAGAAAGTCCTCGGCCAGGATAATGTGGAGAGAGAGAAGTAGGAATCTGTGCAGAGGATGCCAACAAGACAGAGAAAGTTCTGGTGGATTTATCCTCTGTGAAAGAAACTCCGGGAGGGTTTGAGAAGCTCCACAAACCTCTCCAGGTTGTGAATGGGAAGAGATGTAAACAGATGGGTGAATCTGCCAACACTCCTGGAGGGTAGAGATGGTCCCATTGTATAGATTAGAAAAGGAAGGCTCCGGGGGTTTAAGTCCCTGTCCAAGATCAATATAGAGAAGGGGTTAACAGACCAGAATCTGGGGTCTAAATGCCTGTGTTCAGTGACTTTACCACTTATTCGCTGGGAATCTTGGGCCAAGTCCTTAACTTCTGTCCCTGTTTTCTCATTCATAAAACGGGAATAGAATGGTACTTCTCTCATAATGTTGTTGAGAGTAAATATGATAATTCATAGAAAATGCTCAACACAGTGTCCAGCATGTAGTGAGCACCGTACAGAGGAACCCATCACTAGAGAGCTGGCCCAGGTGTGCTGACTCCAAAGGCAGCGATGGGGCCACCACTGGGCTCGGTGGGAATGGAGGAGAAAGGCCCGGGGTGATTTGGAGGAGCAATTGAGGCAGAAACCGTCATCCAGGGTGTCCTGGCCCATGGAAGGGAGCAAGTGGTCTGAAACATTTCGGAGATTGATCCGGATTCCTGGGGATTATGGAGAGTTTTGGGGCAGGGGGCTGATAGGGCCTGGCTCAGCAGTTCTGACCTTGCCCTGCCAGGGGAGCTTGGCTGACATGTGTGAGTGTCGAGCCCCTTAAGTCCTCTGGGCCTAACCCTTCAGCCTCAGAGGGCCCTGTGCCGAGGAGTGGGGCGGGGGGAGTGGGAGGGTGGAGAGGCGGGGGTGAGACCATGGCCCTGGCTTCTGCACCAGGACTCTGGGTGCTGCATTGGCCGGTGCTCCTCCAGACTCCCCTGTCTGTGCATCCTTCCTTGTCTTCCAGCGGGTAACTTCGAGTCTGCAGACAAGAGGAGAAGATGAAGGAAGATTGTCCACCCAGTTCTCACGTGCCCATCAGCGACAGCAAGTCCATTCTGAAGTAAGCCTTCGTGTGCAGGGAGGGACCTTCATACCTGCCCTCTTGTGGTGGCCACTCCCCGGCCTTAGGCAGCCTTTGGGTGGAGGGATTCTGGGCACTTTTCATAGATAGGACAGTGTGCCTGCCCCAGGGACAGGGAGGGGACACTTCTTTTTGAAGGCTGTCTCTTTGGAGATCCAAGATCTCTTTGGGGTGTGGGTTTGACCCCCGCCTCCTCAGACCTACCAAAGCAGGAAAGTGTGACAATGCCCTCTGGGACTCTGCAGAGATGGCATTTAATTTATTTAAAAGCTACAGCAATCCACACTCTTGTTATATTAAAGTTTAGGAAAAAAACCCTTAAAACTGGTTTTGAGTGTATTTTATTGACAATCATTTTTGATTTTGCTTATTTTTTAATTTTCTGTCTTATCATAAAAAATATTTGGGATACTTTTTGAAATTTGTTTCTGAACTAAAGCACTAAAGAAAAATATAGTTTTTATTTTATCTTGCTTTTTGAGTCCTAATATTTTCTAAATTTGGGCAGCTCCTATCTGCCACCCGGAAGAGAAGTCAGCCTCCTGAAATGGACTAGTATTTGCTGAGGACCTGCCCCCTGGGGTTCTCCTACTAGAGACCCTGAGAAAACAGACAGCATTCCCTCTTATCATTTCACAATCTGCCCACACCATCATTTTCCTTATTTAAATTTCATAAGAAGAAGAATGTAACAATATTTTAAAAAGTCATAATAATAAGCATAACATGATTAATTTCATGTACCTGTCGCCTGATAATTTCCTGGTCAGCATTAACACACTTGTAAGCACAGTGAATGTGCGACATTGAATCCTCCATTGTTGAGGCCATGAAGTTATAAATGGCTTCACCCGTCGGTGACCATCATCCCCACGTCACGCACAGGTGACACCAGAGCACCAGAGGAGTTTTGCTCTTCCAGAGTTTGGGTCACTCGAGTGTGGGAGAAGGCGCTGCCTGAAGAGGTTCTAGAGCAACGCTGTCCAGTAGGGGAGCCACCAGCCACGTGTGGCTGCTGAGCCCATGACCAGTGGCTGGAAAGGTGTGGTTAATATAAAAGAGGCTGCAGGGAGCAACTGCTGCTTACAAAACAAAATAATGAACAAGACCTCGATAATTTTTATATTGGTTACATGTTGACATAATATTTTAGATATATTGGGTTCAATAAAATGTGCTATTAAAACTAAATTCACCTATTTCGTTTCATTTGTAATGTAGCTATTAGAAGATTTAAAATTACATGTGTGGCTTGCATTTCACATCTATTGGACTGCACTGCCCTGCGGAGCCCATCTTGGGTCCAGGGAGCTGTTCTCGTCTTCTCTCTGCCACACACCAGCCAAGCCACAAGTGTGGCTTTCCCTTTATTCTGGCGAGAAAGTCTTTGGGCGGTGGCCTCCTGAGGGCCTTCAGGATCTTATCCTCATGGCTGTCACCTTCGTCCCTTAGTCATACCTCTAGAAAGTCAGGATGGGGAAGAGGCAGACACCTCTCATCATATCCCCACAGCAGCCACACCAGGCCCTTGTGGGAAACTATATGGGGAAAAAGCAAGAGTCTTTAAAAAGCCAGTAATCCAAGCCCAGAGGATTTATTCTGAGGAAGTGACTCAGAAGTAAAGTACAGGGAGATTGTCAGGCACTCTTATCTGTAATAGTGAAAGTGTGCAAACACTGTAGATGTGCAATGATGTGGCCCATCTCTGAGTTTCACTTCCTTCCCAGCCCCACCCCTACGCCTCCCAGGAGGGCTGATATGTGAAATCCTCTAGAAGACTAAAGGGCATGTGTCTGATGACAGTCTAGTCTCTTGACTGACTATGTGTGGCTGGCAAGAGGTGAACTATTATGCCCATTTTACAAGTGAGGAGACTGAGGCCAGTGAAGCCAAACACCTTGTCCAAGGACAGGCCATACTCCAAGAGTATGTGTGTGTTTTTATCTTTTCAGGTCGGAGCTCTTAAGTCTGCTGAAAACGTACAACTGCTACCATGAGGGCAGAAGCTTTCAGCTGAGACACCGAGAGGTAAGGGCTGTATCTTTTCTTTATTCATAGGGTCCCCATTTATCCTGGTTTGCTGAGGACAGCCCTGGTTTACACCTATTCTTCTAGGGTCATTATTAAGACCATCCTTTTCACTCTCAGAAGTGTCCCAGTTTGGATAATGAATTATAAGGTCACCCATCCTCTGAGTTGGGGACCAGGTTCCCAGCTGCCATGATCTCTCCTTTGAGGTCCTGAGAGGGGTGGTGAGGGTTGGAGCATCCCTGTGCAAGTCCAGAGCAGGTGGAAATTACCTGTGGGCCTTCTCCTCCCACCTGGGACTTTTGCCTAGGTGAACCACCAGGACATTGGAGTTGGAAATCTTTGCGACCGCACAGTCCAGTCCTTCCTCTGCCCAACACACAGCACAAATAAGGAACTCATTGCAGGGCCCTGGCTTCCCAATTTCACAGGGCAGTTGAGGAGTGAAAGCACCCTCTGTGGTTGTCAATCAGAACGAACATCAGAGGAAAGCCTTGAACTGGAGGAGAGCTCCCCACAAGATGCTCACAGGGCCAGGCAGGTTGGAGCGTGAGGGGCAGGGCAGGCGTGGGGAGTGGAGGACACAGGAGAGCATGTCCCATCTGCAGGCCGCTGCTGCCTTCGGGTCAAACCCATCGCTGCTGTGCAGGAATGTGGGCTAAGTACAGTCAGACCCTTTCTGATTTTTCAAAAGAAGTTAGATATCTGGAATTTCAAGTGGAATTTCCCAATCCTCAGACCATATATGAGCTAAACAAAACATGTCTGTAGGCCAGACAGACTCCAGGGAGTGGCCAGCAGAGCCCAGGCTCAGGGAGCTGCTCACTGTGCAGATCAAGCAGAGGCCTGGTCTTGCTGCCTCTGAACCTCCAGACCCTCCAAACCTTTCACATGGGAAACACGTGTCAGGACAGTGGGCCCCCATCTTGGTCTAATTCAATTTATTTGTAAAGCCTAATGGGGAGTCTTATCATGGTAAGATTTTATCTGGGAGGTTTCTGAGGTTGAGACGGGGTTGGCCCCTGAACTTTCTCTGGCCCGTCAGTGGCTGACCAGGGCCAGCAGCCTCCGAGCGCCCCTCCTGTTGCTGAGCACAGGAAAGGGCAGTTCAAGCCCCAGTCAACCCACAGAGACCTTGTCCAGGTGGAGGCCATTCTGCTCACTAATTCTGGCTTCCATTAGTTATTCAAACAGCCATGCATCCTTCTGCAGTTACCATACCAGAGGGTGAGCTCTGATGTCTGGGCAGCTCTGGGCAGCTAGGGATCACCAGTCAGTGGCAAGAAGGAGGGCCAACTGGAACCCATTCGCCAGACCACCTCGGTCAGCCGCCTGAGGTGTCCAGTCAGCCAGGCTAGGCCAGTGTCTCCGTTCAGGAGCCTGAATGGGAGGGAAGCTGCTAGCTCCTGGTCCTGGTGGTGATGGGCTTCTTGTGACAACCTGAATGCCACAAACCTCATGGTCCACCTCCCCTTGACCTGCCACCCCACAAGGGGCTTTGGGTGCAGCCCTGACAACTTGTCCCCCACCCCCTCCATGCTGCCCCGTGCTTCTTTGCTCATGCTCTCCCCCTGCAGAGTGGTCTCTCTGACATCTGTCTCACCAGCCTGCTCTGGGCCAGGCCTTACTGCTCCTGCAGGTTCAGATCCCACTGCCCTGCTTTCTCCCTTTACTGTCTCTTTTCTTTTCTTTTTTTTTTTTTTAATTTTATTTATTTATTTTTTCCCCCCAAAGCCCCAGTAGATAGTTGTATGTCATAGCTGCACATCCTTCTAGTTGCTGTATGTGGGACGCGGCCTCAGCATGGTGGGAGAAGCAGTGCATCTGTGCGCGCCCGGGATCTGAACCCGGGCTGCCAGCAGCGGAGCGCACACACTTAACCACTAAGCCACAGGGCCGGCCCCTCTTTTCTTATTTGAGTGGTAAACCCCCAGCACTAGGCCCAGGTGCCCACCTGCTTCCGCATCCTGAGGGCCAGGCACAGTGCGGTACCTGTGCACAGGAGTTGGATGACTAGCCAGCAGGCGCAGGCGTGGGGCAAATTGGGATAAGTCCTGAGCTCCAGTATGCTGGGCAGTTTTGATCTGTGCTGCTCAGTGAGGAGTTGGGCTCCCTTCAGTTCTTGTGCTGGAGGCATGGTGTGGGTCTTCTGCTGGGTCCCTTTCCCCAGGCCTGGGCTGTTCAGGGATTGATCTAAGACCCTGGTGGCCCTCAACCTGTGGTCCCCACACCAGCAGCTTCAGCGTCACCTGGGAACTGGTTAGAAATGCAAATTCCTATCACCCTCCTTCCCCCAGGCCTGCTGAATCAGAAACTCTTCACTCTCCCATCTGTGTTTTAACAAGCCCTCCAGGGGCTTCTGATGGAAGGCAGTTTGAGAACCACTAGTCTAAGAGCTTGGTCTTGGCGCTTGGAATTCCCCAAGACCATCCCTCTGTAGGAACAGCTGTGTGGGGAGCAGGACTGGGAAGCCCCAAACTTGTGCCCTGTATTTATGTGTGAAGGGACAGTCCACCTGGAGAAGTGGGGACCTGGAACGGGGAAGAGGTGTTTTTGACAGCCCCCTGCAGTAGGAAGTTAATGTCCCACAGACGGGGATTTTCATGTTGCTAACCCTAAAGAAGGTTAGGATAGTCTGACTTGATCTCCTTGGAGCCAGAAAGTACCATTGAGGAACCTTCTGCAGCCTTAACAGCCAAACGGTGCCAGGCTGAGGGAGTGTGCATCTTCGGGAGGTAACCACCACCACAAAGACAGGTTGCAGACCTGGGAGGCACAGAGTTCTGTTGCTGAAATGTGTGACTGGTTCCTGGGGCACCGTGTCCTTCAGTGACCCACCCACCGCCCAGCATCCAGGCCTCTACACTTTCTCAGATTGCAGACCTGGGACCTCTTGGGCCTTGGGGAACTCGCAGTTCAAGGCACTTGCTGCAGGGCCGCCCCAGGCAGGCTTCTCCTCAGGTGCTGCAGGCAGACAGAGGAACCTACAATTCCCCAGCCACCTCCAACGCACCAGGCACTTTGCCTCTATTTTATTTGTTGTAATGCAAGAGCTTTGCAACATAGGAGTAACTGTTTTCCAGTCAAAGAGATCGAGGCTCTCAGAGTTTAAGTCTCTCGTCTGAGATGGCACTGCAGTAAGTGAAAGATGCTGGGTGACTCCAGGGCCTGAGCACAGAAGTTTATAATACAGCAGTATCATTTCCAACATTCAGCTTTGGAGGTCTTTGGAGGTTTTGATGGAATATCACTCAACAGGCCTCAGGGACTCAGGATGCTGTTTGTCACCCTCAATCCCCAAGCTAACGTTCCTTCTGGCTGCCGAGGGGCTCAGCACTGGGTATGCCCTCTCAGAGCCATGCGGGGCCCTGGAAGAGAACCCCCCACCCCGTTGTCACTGGGCCTCCCCCAGAGCAACTGTAGCCAGAGCGCTAGAGTTTGGGGGCGGTCTCCACTGTCTTCTCCTCCACCGTCTTGTCTGGGGTCCATAGAACTTGGAGAGATGGAGTATGTCAGTGGGCGGGGGGCACACCCTGGAGCAGCCTTGCCCCAGCTTCCTAAGGGCTAGAGGCGATGGATTTCCCGCTCAGGAGGCCAAGGCACTAGCTTCCTTCATTGTAAATCTTGCCTTTGGGATAATTTTGCCTGTGTTACAATGAAAAGCATGAGTATCGGAGCAATCTGTGCCTTTTGAAGATAGCAAAGCATTTTAACCAGGCTGGTTGGCATCTCAAGAGAAAAACGGACCTGGAAATACCAGTGGGTAAGTATATCACTGTTGACGAATTGTGTGAGCAAGAGGCAGTAGGGGCCCCATGAGCTGGTGCGTTCATGTGTGGCCCCAGCCTCCCACCTGCCTTCGCTCAGCGCTCAGTGGGCTGCAGGCTCCCTCTGGCGGCAGGAGCACATACCACACCCAGTCCCCATCCTTAGCCCCAGGCCAGCTGTGCAGTGCAAGAAAGGGGAGGAGCTCTGTTTCTCCCAGGGCAGGGAAAGTCAGGATCCCCTTCCCTCTTATAATAATCCCTCTTCTCCTGAGGCTTGAAGGCGGGAATGATGGGCAGTTGACATGCTGCCGGCCCCTGGGTGAGTGCTTGGCCCCTAGACATGTTCCCTGGGAGCCCCAAAGTGCTTCCCAACCTGCCCCTCTGGGTGAGGCATTGTGTCCCTTCCCTACTCCAGTAGTGCGTGTGAGGAGATGAGACTGCTCTATCGGGCCCCCCGCCAGTGGGGACTTTTTGCTAGGCTGTTGCGTCCTGCAGGAGCTTAGGATGCTGCCAGAAGCCCCTTCTTCCCACAATCCTGTATTCAAATTTTTGGGGGGAGGGGGCACCTTCTGAAGGTGCCATTAACTTTTTCAAATCGGGAGATATTAGCAGAGGATCCCAGAGCCAAGGGGTCACCCTGACCCATCTGACCTCCCCAGGTACAGCACCGTGGTTTCTGAGCTTGGGGGGAATTGGCCAAGGTCATCCTAGCTGCCTCCCTCTGACCCAGTTTCACACTGCGTCACAGAAGGGGCTGCAGTGAGGCTGGGCCCAGAAAGCCCGGCCCGTCCAGTCACCAGCCAGACACCACTCAGGCACCACTCGGTAGGTCAGGCCTCACCACCTCCTCCTAAGGACGTTCTGGCTCAAGGCTGCCCTGACGTATTTGCCGGACAAGGCCAGGGCTTGAGCTGACCAGAGACTCAGCTGGTTGTGACAGATGCAAACGTTTGTAAATGGTGCTTATAACTCCACCTCCAAGTTCATTTGTCCCATTTCCCCAACCCCTGTAGGGTATGAAGGACACGTGTTGGTGTCCCCATGTTACAGATAAGGAAACTAAGTTGCTTGTCTGAAACTTTTTCTTTTAAATGTATGATTTACATTCTGCCTCCCCACAAAACACACATGAAAGAGCACAGATAAACGTTATAAAGTCCAAAGAAATTTAAAAATAGCCAAAAAAGAAAGAAAAAGTAGTTTGATCATCTGCACAGGAAGGAGGTGGAGGACACTGAAGTAGGCGGTGAGCTCTGCTGCGTCCCCAGCTCTGTCCTCCTCCTCTCCTCTCTGTCCCTTCTGCCCTGGCCAGCTCCATCCTGGCCCAAGGGAACAGGGCGACAGGTCCTCAGGCCTGATTCTTTTGAGTTGCCGCACCTGCTTCTCTGAGAAAGGAAATCCTCCCTCTCCGCTATTCCTTACCCTCACCTCCTTGCTTGCCAGATGCCTCCGGGAACTGGGGTTTGCGAGGCTGTGGGGGACCCAGGGCTGCCCAGGCTGGCCTGGGCCTTAGGACATATGGAATGAGCCCCTGGCCCCTGGACTTGCCTGAGAGCAGGGTACCTGGACAACACCCTGCCCGTTGCCCCACAGCAGGGAGGCCCCTGGGTGGAGGGGCATAGGGCTGAGTCTGGGTAGGGAATGGGGCCACCTGGTCCAGGTGTTCGGCACCCTGCAGGCTGAGCTGTCTTGGCCCTCAGCATGGGGAGAACTCTCCTGATGACACAATAGAACCTGTGGGCTGGAGCCACTGAGGTACCCCCGGGTGCCCCAGAACAGGTCCTTTGAAACACAGCAGACCCCACGTTTTCTCTTGGGCCTCATGGAACACGGGCTCTGAGGGTGGGAGCCGAGAGGCTGACTTGGGAGTGCCCAGGGCCTCGCTCTGAAACGACTGGGGGGCTAAGACCTTTGCTTCTCCTCTCCCCCAACCTCGTTTCCCCACCTGTGAGGCAGCCACAGAGACAACAGCTCTCCGTGTGTGGGCTCGTAACATGCGCCCCATGAGGTGTGTGGGTTTTATCCCATTAACAGTCTAGGAGGCAGGTCCCATTAATTATCCCCAGTTTACACATGAGAAAACCAAGGAACAGAGACGTTAGCTAACTGGCCCAAGGTGGTCAGCCAGTGAGGAGCAGCGTGAGCAGGATCAGTAAGGCCACATCACGTGAGACAGGCTGTTATCCTGTTCAGAGTAGGGGTCTCACTGTGAGTTACCAAGGCAAGCAGCCCCTGTAGAAAGGTATTTCCCTCCCAGAGACTTGCCAGGGGCAGAGCCCACCTCAGGGGAGGCGGGTGGGGAGATGACATAGACCCCCATGCTCTGTACAGAAGCCTTTATTGGGGAGAGGTCAGAGTTCATGGATCACGGGGAGGTGCAGATAAAGAGTTCTGAGGACGCTGCTGGGGCGGGGGCTGTGGGGGGACCCCTGGTGCCCGTCCCTCAGTGGTCTCGCCAGAGAGTGCCCCGGCACCCTGGCATCACAGAGCCTCCCTTTGGGGGCCCCCCGGGCCTTGCCGCTGTCCATCTGTCTGTGTGGACTCCAGGGATCAGCAGAGGGGCCAGTCCTCCTTAGCGAGTCCCTCCTACTTGGCCGCTTTTCCTGAGACTCCCGAAAAAGCCAGTCCAGGGGGTCAGCAGTGCCGGGCCCGGGCACTGCAGGCTGCTGGCCGCTGAAGTGAGTGGTGATGTCCTGCAGGGACCCAGTGGGACAGCTCTTCTCACAGCCTGGGGCTGTCCGGTGGGGTGTGCTGGGTCGGACCCAGGCTGTGGCCATGTCCAGCACTGAGGTGGGCTGTGCCAGCTGACAGATAGATCTCACATAGTCATCCAGGCTGGGGGAGGCCGGGGGTTCCTGCCCAGACCCCCCGGGCAGCATCTCCTCCGAGGTCTCCCTAATTGTGGGCAGGTGGGCCACAGAAAGCAGAAGCCGGGACCTCATGGCTGCCGGCGACAGGGAAGCTGCAACCTGTTGGTTGAAAGAAGGTGAGAGTCTGCCGTGCCATCCTGACACCACCCCCCAGTGTCCCCTCCCTCATCTGAGGCTGCCCGTGTGCATCCTGTGCCTGAGAGTGGTTTGAAGTCTGCAGATTGAAGACCAGGCTCAATCTCCTGGGCATTCCTTCCTGCTACTATTAAAAGACCGTGTACGGGGCCGGCATGGTGGTGTAGTGATTAAGTTCATGCACTCCGTTTCAGCGGCCCTGGGTTCACAGTTCGGATCCCGAGTGCGGACGTATGCACCACTTATCAAGCCACACCCTGGCAGGCATCCCACAATAAAGTAGAGGAAGATGGGCATGGATGTTGGCCCAGAGCCAATCTTCCTCAGCAAAAAGAAGATTGGCAACAGATGTTAGCTAAGGGCTAATCTTCCTCATGAAAAATAAAAAAAAAAGCCAGGTACCTAAGACTCTATCATTACTGTTGTTTAAGAACCTGTACAAATAAGAGATCCCAGCCTGGGTCAGAGGAAACCTGTATAAAACCAGTCTCTGCCACTTCCTGACCTGGGGAACTTTGGCAAGGTCACCTCTCCAAGCCTCCACTTACTCGTCTATAAAATGGGGTTATAAATACTCGCCTCACAGGGGTTGTGAGAAACATGGAATGACACCTCATGGGAAATCCCTTTATGACTATGAAGCCCTCTACAGTTATTATCACTGCCATTAACTGGTCTCTAACCTGCAGTGACACTGTGCAAGTCCCAGGCTGAGAACCACCCTCGAAGATATACAACGCCTCTTTGTTTTATCTCAAACCAGAAGGCAGTTGCTCTCTCTTACCTGTAGCAGAGGGGGCCTGGGGGTAGCAGGGATGCTGGATGAGCAAGGGCAGTCTGCGGAAAGTCCCCAGCAAGCTCAGGGCAGAGGGATGGGGGCCAGCAGTCAGAGCCCTGTGTCCAGCATCAGATGGCCGGGGGAAGGTCGGTGAGGACGATGTGCCACGGCCTCTGTGTGATATGCCACTGTCCAGAGCAGAATCCTGCGAACCTCAGGGCCTGGCAGCTGCTTTTATATCTTTCCCCCAGCCTTCAGTTACTGTCACGAGGGCCAAAAATAGCAGCTCAGGAAGGCTCTCAGAGGAAAACAACTTGGTGGGTGGCGCCTGGCCCAGCTGCCAGCCTGGAGAGTGTTTGCTCCTGTGGGAGGCTCTGGGAATGTTTACTCGGCAGGGCAGGGCAGGGGAGGGGTGAACATGACTCCTCACCACCTCAGGCCTCTGGGAGAGGAGGAGGAGGCTGCACTGGGCTCCCACAGGCAGCCTTCTGGTCTGCCGCCGCCCCCTTGAAGCATTCCCCACTACAGATTACACCACCACCCTATGACCCCAGGACACTCGGGCCCAGCGCTGGTTCTTGCAGAGCCCTGTCTGCACCTGTGAGGCAGCCTTCCCATCACGGCAATGCAGGGCTCAGCCTGGAGGTGGCCGAGGCCTGGATCCCTGGGCCTGCTCCAAGGCAAGGGCAGCCTTCGGGGGGTCCTGGTCTTGCTGCTTCCCCAGTGTGGTGTTTTCCAGTGAGAACTTGTTTGTTTACTTGTTTCCCAGGTATCTTACTTAGTGCACTTGTGCACCAGTGACTGCTCTAGGCACAGGGAACACAGCAGTGACTAGTCATTATGTCCTGGAGGTTTCCTTCTAGTGAGGGAGACAGTCAAGCGCTTGTGGATCGGTGCTGTAATTTCAGGAACTGATAACAACTGCAAAGAAAAGTACAGGGCAGCTGTGGCAGAGCATTAGGCGTGTCAGTTCCAAGAGGGAACATTGAGCAGGGATCTGAACAAATGGGGCTTTTGTGTTCCTGGTGGATGGGGCAGCATGTGCAAGCTCCTGTGGAAGGAGTGTGCGGGGCATGCTCAGGGGACGGCAAAGGGCCTGCATGACTGGCACGTGTGGGAGGAAGTTGGTGGACCTTGGCGTAGACCCTGGGTTTCCCTCTGTAGGGGATGGAGGACACTGCAGGGTTTGAACAAGGGTGCAACAATCTGGCTTCTGCTTCAAAGGATTGACTTGGCCACTGTGTGTGGGCTAAAGGGGCAGCTAACGGGGAGACGGGGGAGCACCTGGGCAGCGTTAGAAGCCACTGCAGATGTCCAGGGGTTACCGTGCCAGCACAGAGGTGGCTGAGGATGAGGTGGGCAACCCCAGGAAAGCTCTTGGTAAAGAGCTGGCACCGTGCACTTCTTCAGACTTGTTAGATCATCCACCAGCCATAGCCCCACCTGGAACATGCCTGTCTTGTGCCTACAGGCAGGGGACGGAAAGTCACTGAGACAGCAGCCCAAGCCTGAGGTCTGCTTGTTGGACTGATCCCAGACTCCCAAGGCAAGCAGGAGAGGCTGGCGGTCCCAAGTTCTTGCATTCTGGATGGAGTATTCCTCATGGGCAAAGGCAAGGGGCCAGGAAGGGCGTCAGAGCTGGGTGATCAGGATTTCAACTAGATGTGGCAGTTCCCGCCTTGACAGCTTTTCTATCTAGATGGTTCTATAGAGCTTTTGTTTGTTTCTCTGGCTCTCTGAATTCATTAGCAATTAGCATATTAGTCAATAGGCTGAACTAAGGAGGGAAGTATTGACTGGGACAGAGAATTAGAGGGCCAGAATGACTTCCCAACTTGTGAGGCCCCAGGACCCAGTGCTCATCCTGCCTCCACCTGCAGGCACTTCCCTGACTGTATGGTGAGGGCTGCCCAGTAACCTGAAGGTCCTCTGCTCTGACCTCAGGCTTCCTCTGATTTGATGAGAGATAGCTGCAGGCTGACAGGGCCTTTCCTCCATTCCTATGCGGCTGGGGGTGGAGGGCAGGTTGGGGGCACATAAGCTGTCTGTGCAGAGACATCAGGCCTGAGTCACGTCGGGCCAGCCAGTCCTCAGCACAGCTTATCCTTGACCTCAGAGGCAGCAGCTCTGCCTCAGCCCCTCACTCCTAGTCCCAGAGCAAGTCCTCCTGCCTTCTTCACGGCAAGGTCCCCAGAACCTTCCTATAGCATCTTTGAAGGCCTGGCGTCAGCGTGTCCAGCCCTACTGCCCCTGCCCCAGCTGTGCCCTCTCTTCCTTCCCCTGGAGCATTAAATGGTCCCTTGAGCCCCTCATGACCAGGGCCGTGTCTGCTTCATCTCCCTCCACCCAGGGCCTAGCGTGGGCTGGGGGTCTCCATGAATGAACACGCTGAGATGTTCCAGGTGGGACTGGGCTCTCTCCAGCCATGAGTTGACATCTGACAGAGGCATCCGAAGCCAAGACTGAAAATGAAGAACTGAACCCTGCTTTGGGTTTTCTTGCTATCCCCAGCGGACCTTTAACTCTTGTGGATCGATCTTTTAGAGGGATCCCCAAAAAGGATCCCCTGTATGGGGAGGGTTAGTTACATATCCGTGCCTGTGTAACATCAGTGGTTATCAAAAATAGCTCTGATTTTTTTGTTTGTTTTCTTTTTTAGCAAATAGTTCAAGGTCATTTCTGAAAGCTATATTATAATCTTAGAGTAGAACTGTTTTCTCTGTGGATGGCAGGGTGTTTTAAACTATTACTAACTACCCATGAAATCAACACTGCAGGATACCTCTGTAAGTGCTCCAGGGATATAAAGAAGTTCTCTACAAGGTCCCTGTTCTCACAGGGCTTTCAATGCCAACAAGGAAAAAGAAATGGAATTTGTGAATCTAAAGTGGTGCTTGAGATAGCAATGGGAGAATGATGCTTAAAGTTCATTGCCAAAAGACTAGTATCAAAGCAGATTAGGAGCACGTAGCCGGGAGGACTGTGACTCTGGGGAAGAGTGAGGCTGAGAAGGTTTCTGGCAGGTGCTCTGAGGCTGCAGACAGAGCAGCCATGCCCGGCGCAGAGAGCCTGGAGATGGTCATGCATAGACAGGAACCTGAAATAGGTCAGAGAAACAGAATCAAGGACCTGAGGGCTGCGAGCAGGAGCCGGCTGGGGGTGCCTCTGGAGGGTTCCATCAAGTAGGACCACAGATTTGGTGACCGGGGAGTAGCCGTGCCATCCACAGACCTGAGGAAATCAAGGCTGGCTGGGGACATGGGATGAGAGCTGTCGCAGGTATTCTGAGTGTGCATGTCGGTGGTGGGACATGGGGCTGGCAATGTCCCAGGTGGTGAGGACAGCAAGACCGGCCCTCGGAAAAGAAGGCAGCTTGGAAATCTGGGCGTGGGCTCACCCACTAATGAGAACAGTGTCGGGAGAAGGGTGAGGCTGAGACCCAGCTCCAAGGAACAGCCACCTCTGCTCTGGTGGGCATGGAATCCCATGTCCTCGGCACATTCCCAGTGGGACCCGGTGACTGTAGTGACCCGCATGGCGGTGGGAGGAGAGGCGTACTGCGCTGCATTGGTGTCCGCACGGCCATATGCTTCCCTGGAATTTGTTTCCTTGCTGCGGTGTGGATGTGCTTTCCGGACAGCAGCTGGGTTCCTGTGGGACACCTGACTCAGCCACTCTGTTCTGGACCGTGTCCCTGGCCAGGCATAGGCTGAGCAGTGGAAGGGCACGCCTCAGGCTTCCTCTGGTCAGCCCCGTGGCCCCGTGGCCCCGTGGCCGCGTGCTTTAGCATATAGAAGTTTGTGCGCCTTCCCTCAGGGGATGCAGGACCCCAAGAAAGAGAGAGAGTGTACTTGGAGTCCCATGGATGAGGGGCTGGGTCCTGAGGGGCCTCTCGGGACAGGGGAGCAGTGACCCCTGAGGGCTGCTGATCTGGGGAAAGAGGCTGACCTGTGTGGGTCCCCACAGGAAGAAGGGGCTCTGATCATCGAGGGGCTCCTCAACATCGCCTGGGGACTGAGGCGTCCCATCCGGCTCCAGATACAGGACGACAGGGAGCGAGTGCACCTCTCCTCAGCCTCCTGGGCGCCCGGACCTCCCAGCTGCCACCCGTGAGTACTGGGCTGGTGGAGCGGGGCCGGGGGGCCTCCGTGACAGCTGTTCAACCTGAGCTTACTGTTTGAGGTGTCCGAGGGGCTGTGTCCTCAGTCTCAGAGCAAAAGCCCCACTCCTGTATGGGGCACAAGCCTGGGAGCATTACCCCGCCTCATCCCTGTCACCCCAAGGCCCACGGCCTCACCTGCCAACATGCAGTGTCACCTAGGGTGGTCTTTCTAGATGATGACCAAGTCACCTCCCTCCTGGAGAATGTTCCAGGCTCCCATCACCTCCAGTTGTGTTTCTCAAACATTCACACGAGCCACCTTGTCTGCAGCGAGAAAGGGCTATAGCCCAGGGGGCTCCCCACACCCTCTGCCTGACAAACATTTTTCAGCATCTCCTGTTCTATCTTAAAAATTCACACAAATTTTGCCTCCTACTGCTCTGCTTTCATTTTAATATCAGAATTTATTTTTATAAATTTATCAGAATTTTATCTCAGATTTATTTTGATATCAGAAGGGTGTTTTGATCAGGATGAAATGGGGGTTTCGTGTCTTATTGTTAGTGGGCGTTTGCCTCCTCCTACCCCTCACCCCCAACAAAGGGCAGATAGGTGCTGAGTTTTGCTTGTTTCTGCATGTAATAAATCCTTCTAAGAAGCAGAAATTCAAAGCCCCTTCCCCTTCAAAAATTCAAGTAAAGTTGCTGCTCTGAGGGCACTTAGCACCCGGTTACTCCAAGTGAATTTTGAGCCACACAGACTTAGAGCATAAAGTTTGGGTGGACTTCTTAGAAAGGCTGCAGATGTAGCTGGTGCTTCCCACTCCCTGGGGTAAAAGCTGTCACGTAAGCAGTCACAGACGGCAGGGCCCTCCGGGGCCTCTCAGAGGGGGTTTGGCTCTTCAGTCTGACCCTCCCTGGCTCCCTCTTGCTGTGGGGCTGGTTCCCAGCACGCCCATTCCTTCTCTGGCCTGGCACTGGATGCCCTGACTCCGAGACCCTCCCCACAGACCTGGAGGTTGGCCCCCTCAAGGTTGCCCCTGTCCAACTTTCCACCAGGGTTAAGGGACACCCAGAGAGCCCACTGGGCATGCGGCCACAGACACCAGCCTGCCTCAGCCCGGTGCCCAGGAGCACACGGTCCCTGCGTGTGTCTGTGCAGTGCGGCACCCGCCACTCAGTCTGCAGCGCAGACTCGCTCCCCTTCCAGCAGACACTGTGGCAACCCCTTGCTTTTCTTTTCTTATTTTACATTGACTCAGTGTGAAATCTGGCCTCAATTCAGCCTGAGCTGCTTCTCGCCTGTGTCCTGTCCACAGAGGCAGCCAGTCTCTTCTCTTTGGCCTGAGCTACTTTTCTCTGCCAGCAGCCCTCCGAGCACCATGATTGTCTCTTTTCAGAAAGGAGCCACCTCTTCAGGATGTCAAGGTCACTGCCCAGGAGCCAAGCACTCAGCCCGTGCAGAAGGCTGAGAGTTCCAAAGACAACTCAGGTAAGCGGAGCCTCAAGCTACCCAGGACCCTGTCTCCCTTGTCCAGGGCAGGGGAGGAGGGGCTTGGCTCATGACCACCATTTCTGAGGAACATCTTTGTGGAATAGCAAAGAGTGGCTTCATTTGTTGTCAGGAGCAACCCTTTGCTAAATACCTCCTCAAAATGAGGCGTTCTCATCCACTCCTCGCTTAGGGGAAGTGGAGGCTTGCAGAGGTGACTTTGTTTGACCTGGTTTGCCGGAGTCCCCTGCATATGCTGTGTTATAGAAAGGAGAGAATGTCAGCAGAGGGCATGGTGCCTCTTGGCCTTGCAGGCCCCTAGGACCTCTTCCTTATGCTCTGGGATCCATGACTGCCCTATCCTCTTTGTGCCCTCCCCTCGCACTCAGTGAAGGGCACATCCCAGAGTGGGACCTCAGAGGACAGGGCTGGGGCTACCAAAAACCTGCCGTGTGTGCTTGGAGACAGAGGCCAAGAGGCTTACGGCCATGTGGCGTGGTGACATAGGTTATCCTATCTGGGAGTCACCTTACCTGCCTGCACATTGGGCATCACGCAAGCTGGACCCCAGCCTCCATCACAGGAACAGCATTTGTATTATGGTCTGCTGCAGTGCGGTGTGCCCACAAGGCGCCAGGGAGCCAAGCCCCACACACAGCATGACCGCTGGAGCATAGCAGTTCTCTGTCACCATTGCGCCACTCGGGCCTGACCTTCTCATCTGTTTCTAGCTGCAGAGCCTCTGGAGGAGGACGAGGAGACCCCACAGTTGATGCGGACCAAGAGCGACGCGGCCTGTGTGATCCAGAGGAGGCCTAGGTGCCGTGCACCTGGAGAGGCCCAGAGGCTCCGACGACACCGGTTCTCCATCAACGGGCACTTTTACAACCACAAGGTGACATCCCAGCCTGGCCTCTTCCCCAGGCCCTGAAGCTGAGGCCACAGAGAACCAGCCCCAAGCACAGGCGCAATTGTTGGGCCTTCTGTAGGCGAGGCCCCAGGAGAGTCATGCCAGAGTTCACGCTCCCCACGGCCCTGTGTGCAGGTGTTGTTGTACCCGTGTCCTGATGGAGAAACATGCTCAGGAGGAGAGCTATCTTGCCCAAAGTCACATCAAAATAACTTGCCAGTTCATGACTCCAAAGCCTGTATTTTTTTCCCCCAAACACTCACTGTCAATCCATTCTCACAACTTGCATGGAGTTTTGGAAAGATGCCAAGTTCATCTTTAAGTAGGCAATTTTCTAGAGGTTTCCACTGAGTTTGATTGATAGTTTCGTGGGAACATCATGTACCCTGCTGGCATTCTTGGTAGGTTAAGCCCACTGGCTTGAGGTGTGCCCAGAGGCGTGTGCTTGTCTCCCAGAGAACCTGTACTGCTCCTCATTCCCAGTACTTAGCCTTTTGTCCAAGTGTGTATTGTACTGACCTCAGGAAAAGATCTCCTTCCCCAGATGACATCATTCCATAAACAAACCAAACTGTAAAAGGAGACGTTGATTGTTACTATAAATGGCATGAGTGGCAGTTTGGGTGAGGCCCTGGATGGAGTGTCCAGTAACAGGGCCACATCCTGCAGCCCTGGGAAATGGAAGCAGAGGTTTCCAGTTGAAACAGCTGCCCTTCTTGATAGGCAGTGACTCATGGGAGGGGAGGGGGCTTGGGCAGAGGGAGGTCTGGGGGCAGATCTGAAGAGCAGTAGCCCTGGTGAGGCCTGTCAGGAACTGTTCAAGCCTCTCTTGGGGTGCCTTGGACTTTGGGTTGAAGAATTCAGCAAGGGAAGCTGAAAGCACCCTGGTTTACGATCAGGACCTCCTTTCCACTCCATGCTGGGTGTGCAGTGAGTGGTAATGAGTGACAATAGGGCTGTTTTTGCTCAGTCCAAGAAAACCCAGGACTGTCTGAGAGCAGAGTTTCCTGAGACAGTGAGGGCAATGCAGGGCCCAAGTTAAGCAGAGATTAGGAATAGTTTAGATCAGCCAAAGGACAGTGATCTGACTTGGGTATTCTTTAAATCTTGTTCCAAAAGGAGTTTAGTCTGTAAAGTGTTAAGTAAGCACCGGTCGCTAGTATTTGAATCGATATTGATATGCTACTTAAGGGATTATTCAAAAATTTAAAAGAATATTTGCATGGGTTTAGGCTTTTTCCAGTTCTGTGTTCCTGAAAAAGGAGCCTTTGCTCCATGACTCAAGGTACCCCATAGTGGGGTTTATCTTCAGTATATCCACCCCTCCTCTAAGGGATCGTTCATCTCTACAGGTGTGTCTGGCACGTTAAATCTTATTTTAGTCATTGCAGATGTCATGGGGACATGGGGATGTCTGAGCACTCGGTAGCCTTTGAAGTGAACAGAAATGAATAGCAAGGGCTCTCATCACAGCCTTTCGTGTCCCCTGGAGCCACCCTGTCAAAAAGAGCCCCTCAGCCAGCCAGCCCGACACTCTAGCCTATAACCCAGTCAGGACTTTTCCTCCTAGTAACAGATTTGCCTATGGAATGTGGACCCATTCTTCCAGGAAACCTGACTACCTTCTAGGAGATGGACTAGTATGTTAGGCATGTTGCACAGTTGATTCACATCTCTTGAGTGAGTAAGGGGCTCCCTGTTTCTTACCTTGCTCTACATCCATTCAGAATCAGTGTCCTCAGAAATCAGGTGACAAACTACTTGAGTACAGGCAACAATTTAACAAAAAAGAAATTCCTAGAATTGACTTCCCGGGGTTGTTATTCGAGTTTTATTTGCTATAACTGTGCACTATTACTTCACTCAATCATTTTCCAAAACTGTTCTGATTCACAGTGATATTGCTGTGATTTCCACACTGGGTAAAACTTGGCACCTGTTCCCACTGCTTTGCCCTGGCCTCTGGGATTCCAATGTGTTCTATCAGAGAGAAATCGTTGTGGTTAGAGATGGGAAGGCAGCCCCGGGACCTTTGTTCCTACTTGGAGCTGGTTGGTGTCATCTCGAGGAAAGGCTTCAGGCAGAAGAAACAGTAACAATGTTTTGTTGACAAAACCTTTCTTCTCCTTGAAATAGCCTAATTCCTTTATTTATTCCATATTTCTTTGGAACTGAAAGCCTATTGTGGCTTTCCGTATAACCCAGAGTCATTCTATATCTCATCTCTGGAGGAGACAGGTCTGGTTTGAGTCTGGCTCTGGTACTTGGGGACCAGCTGGGGACACTGAGCAAGTCCCTCATGACCCTGAGCCCCAGTCACATCTGGGGAAAGCAGAGCTAGGACCATAGAGGAGGAATGTGCAAATTTACACTTGGTTTTGGAAAGTGACGGGGAGCTCACCTTAGGGGAGTCGAACTCTTTGGGAGGCCCCAGTGCCACGGGGGTAAAGCATGGGGCTTTGGGGGGGCTCTGCCCTTTCTTGATGGATGACCCTGACAAACTACTTAAACTCTCCAAGCCTCCGTGTCCTTTCTAAGAAAGGGGGACTAGTGACTGGTACTGCAAAGGGCTGTTGTGAGGTTAAGTCAAAGATTATATGTAAAATGCTTAGCAGGTTTACTACCTGGCTGGTGTTCATTGAGGGCTTATTAAGCCTCAGGCAATGCCCTGATTGACTTCATATACATGTCTCATAGGCAAAGGCAAGGTGCCTGCGAGACTATAATGGGTCCCCAAAACTGTGCAGAAGCCGTGTGGCTGAAACACAGGTGCTTGGGAGGGAATCATGGTACCACATGTGCATGACAGTGAGAGGAGCCATGGATGGCATTGTTTAGGCCACGGGAAGCCTTCAGATATTTTTAACTAGAACATGCCATAAGACTGCTTCTCAAATTGTACTGCACAGATGGCATCACCTGGCATCCTCCTCGAAATGCAGATTCTGATTCAGGAGTCTGGGGCAAGGGGCCTGGGACTATTCGCTGATGCGGCTAGTCTAGGACGCACGTTGAGTTGCAGGGTTTCTGAAAGGTTGTTCCTTTGGGCAGTAGAGTGAGAATGGATCGAAAGGGCTGAGACTGCAAGGGGAAAAGTTGGGAAGTTGATGTGGTGTGAACTGGGGGCCTCTACTCAGGCCCCCTTGGGGGAAGGGAGAGGAGTGTACCGCTTTGGGGACCTTCAGCCTTAGAATCAACAGACACTTGGTGATTTGCTCAACGTAAGGAGTGAGGGAGAGACTGGTTCCCCCAACCCCTTGTGAATTACTTCCACAGCACTGGTTCCCAGGATCCAGAGAGCTGGCCCGTATAGCTTTGTGGGCATCTTCCTTACAGTCCCCTGAAGACACGAGCTATTACAGCTTCCCCTAGTCCGCCCAGATCTGGGCACAGTGTGTGAGTGGATCTGTGTGAGTGGACAGGCACAGGTACTCCCAGAGCCCAGGTTTGCCTGCTGCTTCAGTCTGCTCTGCACCGTCTGGCTGACAGTGTGCCCAACCCTGCGTGATGTCAGCCCCATGTCCCCTCTGGCCCTGCCCTGACCTGCCCCCCCTCCCTGTACAGACCTCCGTGTTTACTCCTGCCTATGGGTCCGTGACCAACGTGAGGGTCAACAGCACCATGACAACCCTGCATGTGCTCACCCTGCTGCTGAACAAGTTCCGAGTAAGTCTGGCCAGGCGAGGACGCTCCCTGATGCTGTGGTTTGCTGTTGTGGTGGGGGAGGGGCTGGCGATGGCTGCGGGGAGCTGCCTGTGGCTCCTGGTAGAAGGTCTAGCAAGGTTTCCTCTGCTGAACTGGCATCTCTGGGATTTGAAGCAGAGAGAGGGGAGGGTCCTTGGGGACTTGTGTGTGTGGCACTGGGGGTGCGGTTACTGCCAGGGGTCCCTTTCTGTCTCTCTTGTGTCAAAAAGCCATGGTCTGACTTTGCGTCACTGCCTTTGCAGGTGGAAAATGGCCCCAGTGAGTTTGCACTCTACATCGTTCACGAGTCTGGGGGTAAGCACCTACCTTTGCTTCCAGATCATAAAAACAAAAGTCTCTGTCCATTTGGCAAGCTCGCCGACCATGCTCCTTCTCAGGGCCATGCTGGCGTTTGCAGCTGGCACAGGGCAGCTTGCCCCCTTGGCCTTGATACACGCTGTGTCCCCACCACAAATGCCTTTCCCCGGCCCAAGCCCAGGCACGTTAATCATCGCTTTCAGAATCCCACCAAAACCACATGGGAATTCGCCATCTCTAACCTCACTCAGTTGGGACGGGTTGGGGGTGTGTGTAGGGGTCTCCAAGGTGGAGCTGAAGCCCCTCGCCCACTGAGAACTGTTGCAGAACCTGCACGTCCCTCTCTGCAGCCCTGGCACACTCAGTCTAGTAACTGAGCAGGCCTGGCCTCCCCGTGTCCGCTCCCCCTCTCTCCCACTCTTCGGCTCCTGTTCCTCTCCCAGCTGGGCCTTTGCTGAATGACACAATCACACGTCATTCAGGGCAACGTTCTCAGCAAAGTCTGGAGAAGGTTCCCGGGCGTGCTGGACATCCATTTTCTATCACATTCCCATCCTGGAACAAAGAGAGGCGATCCTAATGCCTCATGAATTTTGCAAACCACTTTCTTTTTCAGAGCGGACAAAATTGAAAGACTGTGAGTACCCGCTGATTTCCAGAATCCTGCACGGGCCTTGTGAGAAGATCGCCAGGATGTTCCTGATGGAAGCCGACCTGGGCGAGGAAGTTCCCCACGACGTGAGTTGGGGCTGAGGCTCCGGGAGGCCTGCTCCTGAGGGCCAGGCTGAATGACAACAGGGGGGTTTCCCAAGGGCTCTGAAGGTGACATTGGCAAGAGCCCTCTTGGGCAGTGTCTCCAGGGGGCTGTCTTGAAGGGCCCCAAGCCCAGCATGGTGATGGCTCCAGCTCTCCCTCTTCCTGTCAGTGACCACCAGCCCCATCAGTTGGCTTAGGGGAAACAAGAAGTTGCGTCCTAGAAAACCATGACTGTGCTTTTCCCCTCAGGCAGATAGAACCTTTTCCTTGTTGGAGCATGTTTTGTTGTCATTTCATTAAAAACCCACACAAGCCTCCTTAACTAGGGCCTAACCGGGGCCTTTGGAAGGGAAGCAGGTGTGTAAGTCTAACCACAGACTGGGGCCTGGCTAGGCGAGGAGCACATTTCCAAACTCCCCTGCATAGATGAGACCTATAGGGTTTGAACCAGTGACCTTGTATCCCTGGGGCCATTCAGGGGCTATTGCAGTTCATTCCATTGTTAGAAACAATGGCGTTCCCACCACTCTCCACCCCCTCCCCCAGAGAACACCCAGTGTGACTCTGCTCGCTGTTGAATGCTTTTCCTAATATTCAGCTTAATCTTTCCTCCCAGGAATAATAGTTTTCTTTGCGGTAAGAATGGGCTGCATCCTCCAATCCTGGGACACACAGAGCCGCGGTGGGGGAGGGTGGGAAGAGGGCAGCCACTTCCATGGATACAAGACATTGCTGAATGGGCCACAGTGGAAGCCATGAGGAAAAGAAAACCCCTTTTTGGCTTCTAATTTAAAGTATATTAAAATGTTCTTGGATTTTCTAGGTCGCTCAGTACATTAAGTTTGAAATGCCGGTGCTGGACAGTTTTGTTGAAAAATTAAAAGAAGAGGAGGAAAGAGAAATAATCAAACTGACCATGAAGTAAGCAGCACTTAAAGGGCCAGTCGTGGGTCCTGAACATCAGGGCAAGTCTGCAGGGCAGAGCCCCCAGGGCCAGGGCCTGGAGAGCTCTCTGCTCCAGTGTACCAGGTCCCCTTGCACGGCTCGGCTCAGGGAGGCCTCTAACCCTCGCTCCCCAGCACCACCCTCTGGCCCCCTGCTCCCTGTTGACACCAAGCTGGGGTGACAGCCTGCCAAAATGGTGGGATGCAGTCTAGTCGGCCCATCCAGCCTCGGCAGGCACTTCACCAGCACGGGAGAGACACAAGATGCTAAAAACTGGGCAGGATAGTCAGGCAGGAGCTCGGGTGGGCACTGCACCAGGCTTATGAGTTCTGCTGGTAACACAGCTCTAAGGAGCAGCCGAGGAGAGGACCTGCTCCATGCACGTTCAGCCTGGTCTAGGCCTTTCATGCTAGCGGGAGTTTGAGCCTGCCAAAAAGCGGCGGTTGTTGGAACTCCCTGCACCAGCTGATGTTTGCAGTTTCAGGGGACCTGTTCAATGGAAAGATGAGCAGGTGTCACCTGCCGGCTCCTGGGGAAGCTATGTCAAGGCCCAGCTGTGTGAGTTTAGCCAGGTTGCGTGTTCCCGTGATGTGTCTATCCCTCTGCACGGTGAAGCCTGGAGGGGACACATGGAGGGTGCTCAGCCAGTGCCGGGGGTGAGAGTCCCTCTTAGGAAGGGAAGGAAGGAGGCTGCTCACTCTGAGGGCCTGCGGTTGGGGGACCAGTTCGGATTCTGGATTCTGGCTGAATGATTCTTGGAAAGCCCCAGGCCCTCCAGGCTTCCGTCTGTGCAGCAGGGCCCCAACCATTTGGGCAGTCAGCAGAGACCCCCATCAGAGGACGCAGTCCACCATGCAGTCAGCAGTGTCACTGTAGGATTTTGGAGTTGGAAGGGACCTAGGGTCACCTGGTCAATCTATTCAGTGTAGAGAGAAGAAACGGAGGTGCCAGATGAGGAATGTTGCAACACAGGTTATTAGAGAGCCAGGCTGGAATGCAGGCTTCCTGATTCCTGCTCTGCCACCCTGTCCACTCCAGCACGCTCCTTTCCGTACTGGAAAATCTTTGGAATAGAAACAGCAGCATTATGCTTTGAAGCTTGACAAGGTCTGCAGCCCTGTTTGACTGCTCCTTGAAGCCAGTGGTCTTGCAAGGTGTGGGCCTGGCTCTTCCTTCTGCTTGGTGGAGGAGAGATGGTGGCCGCTAATCAGCCAGTTAGGAGCTGTGGGTTTCCTGCTCCTGGCATCTGTGCGCCCCCTCGCTCTGCTCCCCCATCCCTGTCCCCTCCAGTGTCGGTGAGTCCTCTTGGCTGTGTCTCCCTCCAGGTTCCAAGCCCTGCGTCTGACGATGCTGCAGCGCCTGGAGCAGCTGGTGGAGGCCGAGTAGCTGGCCAGCGCCTGCCTTTTCCAAAGTCCCCAGCAGCCAGTGCACACTGAGTGCCAGTGGCGGGGCCCTGACTGGTCACACTGATTGAAGGCCACTGGCTGAGGAATCCAGCACCCACGCTTCTACCTGTCTACCTGCCTGAGTCCCATGAGTCCCATGTCCCTGGCTCTTGGCTCAGAGGTGAGCACTCACAGGGCCCAGACCCAGGTCTGAGGAGCCAGGAACTCGCTGGGTAGGGTCTGTGCATAGGCTGGCCTGTGCAGTGAGCAGCCCTGAAGCTGTGGCACCACCCATGGTACATGGCTGGACGGTGTGGCCAGTCCTGTTCACACCACACCTCTCCTGCTCAGGGGATCAGTAGCTGACTGAGCCCCTGGGGCCTGGGCTCCATCTGCTTTCCCAGTGCCTGGCTCAGAACTTCTGCAGGACCACAAGCCCCTGTCCTCATCATCCATATGAACTACATGATCCCTGTCTGCCTTCGCCTCATGCCGCCACTCAGAAGCTCTGCTGGGAAAAGCAGGGGCCCCGGCATATATAAGACGTGCCCTGCTCACAGCCATCACTTCATCTGGCCTCCAAGCCTCTGGTGTAAACCCGTGAGCCTCACACAGCCCAGCACCATGGCACCTGAGGTCAGACCAGGAATAAGACCACGAGCATCCCATCTTTTGTCTGCAGCACTCACTCTGAACTTGCCCAGCAAGACCTGAAAGAATTCTTATGAGGATCGTGCTGCAAGAAAGACGTCGATTTGATCACATGGAGGAGGTGGCCCAGGTGGCGTTGGAAGGATCCCTCCTCCTGTGGATGAGAGTCCAGGGACTGCCGGGCAGCAGCTCGGGAAGGCAGGGCTCAGTCCCCATCGCCACTGTCCCATGGATGCCTGTGCCTCTTGCCCTCTCTGGGCTTGCGTTCCTCACTCTCAATACTTCCCATCAAAGGGGCGAAATGAGGAGAAATGCCTGTTGGAGGAGAAAGGGCTTTGAATTCCCTGGGGCCAGATTCTGAACAATTTTGGTTTATCAGCTGTTGGAGAATTTCTGGAACGAACCAGAAGGCGTTTGCAAAACTATGCAACAGTTTACATCTGTCATGTGAAGTGTTTGTCCAAAACAGAGCAAGCTAAAGACTTCTCCCACTGGGGCCTGTAGATAGCGAATTTCAAGGGAAGAACTATCAAGTCTTCCAAATAGAGGAGAGATTCCATCTCTGCTTCATGTGGCAGATCGTCACCAGCACCTATAAAGAACAGAGCTTGGGGCAGCCGTACTGTGTGGACCTACTGTTCAGGGCAAACTTCATGCCAGGATTTCGCCTACCTAGCTCCCTCGTCACAGAGACGCTCAGAGAGATGGCCGGGGAAGGCCTGCCGCAGTTCCCGTTTTCTCCATTCTCGTTTGGCAGCATAGTTTCCTAGGTGCTCAATAAAGGTGCGCTGTACTGGAGTTAGGACCAAGCTTCCTTTTTGCCGTCTGTCTACCCTGGCCCCCACTCTAACCCCTGAAACTCTTATCCTACAGTATTTATGGCCAAGTTTGGCAGAAGAGCCAAAGCTGAGCTACAGCCTGCTGCACTTGACACTGACATGACTCCTTCATTTCTGTGCATATCCTGAGGACTGGTTGGGGCCCGAGGCAGAGGCGGCCGTTAGGCTTGGAGGAGGAGTCATCAGTAGGGGTCTGTGGGCAGCCTGGAAGATGAGCGACAGGGTCACCCTGAATCACAGAGTCTCAGCATCAGGAGGACCTCAGGAATCTTCCAGGCTGGGGCTCAGGTGGCATAACAGCAGGGCCTAGGAGAGAATGACAACAAATAAAACAGGCTGCCCCAGGTCATTTGACTCCTCAGCCAGTATTCACAACCTCAGCTCTAGGACAACTGCCAGTCCATTGTTCAGCAGTAACCGAGTGAATGCCTTGTGCCAGACCTGTGCTCAGCCCTGGAAGGACAAAGACAGAGCTACGGTCCACCCTGTGCTCAAGGGTCTCCTCATCAGGAGGATCAGGCCACATACCCAGGAGGGTCAGGGGACCAGCAGAGCAGAGAGCTGGTGAAGGTCACTGGAAGGAGGTCCGAGGCTGCACCCACGGTGACTAAGACAGTGTGTGTGGCATTGTGGCCCGAGAGACACCTGCCAGCCTGGGAGCAGGGCAGGGTCCAGCAGATGGGAAGCCATTGATCTGTAAGCCCCTCTGTAAGCATGGGCCGATTTTGTTTTTTCGTTTTGGGGTGTTTTTTCTTTTTGCAGTTGTTACAGTAGATTTAATTTAGGGCCTATCTAGGTAAGTGTCTCTTTTGAAATAGACATTTTCAAAACTAACTTGTGAATATCATAACTAAGAAAAATTACTAGCAAGTTGCACAGGAAAGGGGAAAATGTACACTTCTACAATCATCTGAGGGGTTAGCAAATCTTTTTATCGGCAACTTGAAAAACTGCTAATTCAGCTCACCACAGTACCACAATTTCAGACGTTCTCTGCTAGGCTCTGTGGCTTCCTGCTGGTTTATATGGGAGCTCCATTTTCCTCTCTCCGTAGAGATTACAGTATTTCTCATAGGCTCCTTCACTAACTGGTATCTCAGGTAATAAATGTATCCAATGATAATGTGAAGATTCCTGTGAAAGTATCTTCTCCTAAAAAGGACTGTCTTCCCAGGCCAGGCCTCAGGAACCAGAGAAAATCATAAACACAGGATGAAGTCAACATGATTGCAAAAGAATGACTGGACTCAGGAAAAACAGGGTGGTTTGCCCAGAACAAATTACCAGAAGGAATCAAAAAACAGCTTGTTTTTCCTGTGGTGATAACCATATGCTACCTGCTTAGAATGTTTACCAGAAAATGGATTAAAGACCTTCCCACTATCAAAATAAGCCATGTGTTCACCCGGGATACATCTGGCCCCTTCCTCCCAGGGAAACAAAGCAAAAGGCTGATCCAGTCTGAGCAGGTGACTTGTGGAGGAGCAGGCAGTGCACAGTGTGCCCCATGTGGGTGGGACGCAGGTGCCCTGCAGCTGCAGAGCAGTATCATATCCTTGTCAGGTGCCCGTGGTGGGCAACAGCACCCCTGCCTCTCAGTCCCTTGGTGGTGATCAGGCAGGAAGCGCAATCAGAGCCAAGCTGTTCCAAGTGTAAAAACAAGCAAATGCATGTGCTGTATTTAGGCCCCACCGGCCGTGAGTGTCTGGGAGAAAGCCAGCTGCTGACCTGCCCCTGCACTCACAGCATGTGGGGTGGGGCTCTGCTCCCGCCTGGCTGGGCTTTTAACAGAGATGTTTTCTGCAAACCCAGGAATGGAAATTCCCAGAGTTTCCTTTCCCAGAGAACGCAAAGGAAACAGACAGCAAAGTCTCAGGTTTGGTGGTGTTGACTGAAAGAGTCTGGGTGATATTAGTGAAGGAGTTTATTCAATAATCAGCATGAGGAGTTCGAACCCCGGGAAAATAGTTCAACAGAGCACTCTGATGGAACTGCTCCGAGGGGTGTGAGTTTAAGTGTAGCTTGTATCTCTTTCACAAAACAGTGCATGTGCAGGGGAAAAAAAAAAACTTACAACTAGATTTCATATATATCAAAAAAAGGGATACATCTGGGCTTTTCTCTAGATTATACATTGAAGGTAACATAAACAAGAATCCCTTGTTTATACATCAAACAAGTTCAGAGATGCTGCCGTTATGTGTGTGGAGGAAGGTGAGGGCGAGGATCGTTAATTAGTCCCTCAATTTCTAAGAAATGCAGCTGGGAAATGTGAGGGCGAGGTACCCTTTATCTCTTCCTGTTGTGGATCTGTCCAGCTGGCATCTTTAGTCATGAGACGTGGGGTTACAAGGTCATTTGACACAGCCTGAAGAAGGCCTACACGGCTGCTTCACAGGACAGCATGGATTTTATTTTTATTGTACTGACTTAAAGCTTATGCAGTTTGCTTGCTAGATTTGCCTGTTAGACCAGGGAGAGGGGTCCCAAAAATCTGTCCACAGTGGACAGAACCATTGTCCGGGGTCCCTTCATGGGAGGTGGACCACTCCTGTCACTGCGCTTGGGCCACACATGTGACCGCCTCCCTTGCATTGTTGCCAGATGCAGACCTAATGCAGCTCCCTGTTGAGACAGGCTTTTCCGTGTGTGTGTGTGTGTGTGTGTGTGTGTGTGTGTGTGTGTGTCTGCAAGGGAGTGGGCATGCAGGGGACAAAGCCATAATAAAAGGAAGCTATCTTGCCAGGACTTTTCTTAGCTCAGAAGCCTATTTTTCCTAGAATGAGCCCTTCACATTCAGTAGGGCTCGCAGCACACTGGTCCCTGCTGGGTGCAGTTTCCCAGAGAAGCCCCAGCCATTAAGGAGTCTGGCCTCTCTTGGTCCAGTTCCCCTAGAACAACATGCTTTTAGGAGGAGGTGGTGGCATAGCCTGTCTTTGCTGCCCTGACTGTCCATCCCTCCCACTCCCTCCCCAGTTCTCCTTTGTGTTTTGTAAATATCAGGTGTGACCATTTTCAGTGATTTAATTTGCTTAAAAATAACCTGGAATCCCATTTGAGAGATACTGCTATGTAGAGCTTAAGAGCAGAGGCTCTGGAGCCAGACTGTCTGGCCTCAAAGCCTGGCTCTGCTACTTAGCAGTATGTGATCTTAGGCAAGTTACTTGCCTGCGGTTTCTCATCTGTAAAATGAGGATAATAAAAGTTCCTATCTCTTAATGTTGTGGGAGGTATGTTAGTGGCTCTGCTGCAGTAACAACATCCAAGATCTTAATAGCTGCAACCAGAGCATTTATTATTCTCACACGTTACGTGTGGCTGCAGGTGGGCTTATATGGCTCTGCTCCATGTGTCTTCTCATCCTCCTTGGGACTTATTATTCTCGAGGCAAAGGGAAAGAACAGAGTGGTGGCAGAAACACAGTGACCCAAAGCTGCTTCTGGAATGTGGTACACTTGGCGTCCACTCGCATGCCGTTGGCCAATACTAGTCACATTCAAGTCAACATCACTGCGACGGCAGGTAGTTCGCTAGGAGGCGCTGAAAGTCACACAGCACTAAGCAGCGATGTAAAACCTGAGAAAGGCTGAGCCAATGCTCAGAACAATCATAGCACAGGAATATTGAATGACGTACTACAAGCGCTCCCGACAGTGCCTGGCACACGCTAAGCATTCAGTAAGTGCTATTATTATACTAATAAGTAAGTTGAGGGCATACAACCCTCTCCCTGTGTTCTCTCCCTCTGTCTCCTTTTCCCCTTTATTCTTCCTCCTCTTCCCCACTCCTCCTCTTCTGTCTCTGGCCTCTCTTCATCCTTACCTCCTACTCTGCCCACTCTTAGCCACCCACACCGCTTTATTTCCTGACTTTCATCTCTCTCCCTTTTAAAATTCATCTTTCTTTACCCAGTTCTTTACCCCTCTAATCTACACATCTCTCGGCCTTCTGTAGCTAGCCCGATTGTTTTCAGGTACAGGAGAAAGGGGGTAATCCACCTTTATGTGGGACATGGAAAGAGTTTTAATTAATGACTGTCTTACTAATAAAATGTTTTTGAATAAATTGTATCTTATGATTTTAATGTTCATAGAGCAAAGAGTCCCAGCGGGTCATTTTTGCTCATGAAACTTTTCCTAAACTATCTCTGGCCATAGCTCCTTACCCCCACCTCCTCCAATCACCAGCATCAACCACTTATAACAATAATTTAGTAATAAAAGTAATAA